ATTAAATTATTTAAAAATATCAAGCTTCTATCCGAGTTGTAATAAAATGTATTTCAAAAACTCACGCTTCTTAAAATATTCTTTAAAAAATCCACGGTTCTGAAAGACCCAGAAAGAAAAAAAAATAGTTTAAACGTGTGGGCTCCTTTGAATAAAGCCCATAAAATCTCGGTTAAAAATGTTTCAGGTCCACAACCAATCTCGAAATTTAACACACGTCATTCTAGACCTAATTCAATACCATATGCCAAATTTTATGATATATAGGGACTTCGGTGCCCCATTTACATTCAATCGGACGAAAATATATATGGGAGCTATATCTGAATCCGGCCCGATTTTCTCGAAACTTGACACGCGTTATTCTAAACTCAATTCAGTATACTCTGCAAAATTTCGCTCAAATCGAAAGATATATAGGGACTTTGGTGCACCATTTACCAAAAATCGGGCGAAACTATACATGAGAGCTATATCTAAATCGGAACCGATTTTCAAGAAATTTTACACACATCATTCATTATTCATTATGCTATGGCAAATTTCATGAAAATCGAAGGATATATAGGGACTTTGGTGAACCATTTACATTTAAATCGGTCGTAAATATTTATTGGATCTATATCCAAATATGAACCGATTTTCAAGGTCTTTTACATACATCATTCTACACTTATTTCAGTACGCTATGCCAAAATTCGTTCAAATCGAATGATTTTCAGGGACTTTGGTGCACCATTTACCCAAAATCGGACGAAACTATATATCGGAGTTACATCCAAATCTGAACCGATTTTCAAGAAATTTTACACACACCATTCTACACTCAATCCAGTACGCTATGCCAAATTTCGTGCAAATCTGGCATACCATTTACCTAAAATCGGGCGAAACTATATATGGGAGCTATATCTAAATCTGAACCGATTTTCACGAAACTTAGTACACGTCATTCTAGACTTAATTCAGTACGCTATGCCAAATTTCGTGCAAATCTGAAGATATATAGGGACTTTGGCATACCATTCACCTAAAATCGGGCGAAACTATATAGAAGCTATATCTAAAACTGAACCGATTTCCCCAATTCCAATTTTGAGCCAAAATGATCAAAAAGGTGCTTATTATTCACCCATATGCCGACTATAGCAAAACCTTAAAAATGTTTGTTCCTAAGTATATAAATATTTTTTAATAATTTTAAATTATATGGTATTCTTCTCTATGTTCTTTACAATTACGAAGAAGATCCATGTTAAAAATATTCAATTTTTATATAGTTACAAGTCTTTTGAAATTTACATGCCCACTAATTTTTTCTTAAGAAACATGAATTATCGCTAGTGTTGACAAACCTCATTGACAAAATGCCAAATTTTGACTGAATAAATGTACTTAGCTCGATTAAATTTTATACAGAGATAGGTTGCAGTGTTATTGAAGATTATTCAAGGTAGTTTTGATATTTAGTTATAGGATTTTTTTTAGTTATTTGACAGATGCCGACTATTGGTACATGCCGGAATTAGGTGCGTTTACCCTATATTCTATCATGTTTAAGGGCAAATAACGACAAACAAAATTAATAGCACTTAACAATATTTTTGAATCAAATAAAACCCAAACCTTTAAATATCTCAATATATGAAAATATGGACTTAAACCACTTTCAAAATAAACGATTCATATGGTCCTTTAAAAAGTCATTTCTTATTTGATCTTTCATCAAGAATGAAATTGAAATAGATTGTGAATTGTGTGTGAACTAGATCGAAACTAAATTTTGTAGTCACCCACATTGTAAGCCCCGCGAAGGGAACAGTTGAAAAATTTGTCGTGAATCTCAAGGCTTTGCAGATTTCTTTTTTTATAATTTCTATTAATTGAATTTCTCATACTGTCTAAAGTTTCCAGAGACAAGAGAGAGGAATGATGGAGTGTTTTCAGCTTCACTGTGTTATTTTAGAATATTATCCACATTTGCTAACTTTTTAGTTTCAAATGTTCACTTTTAGGTACTGAGGAGGACGGCAGAACAGTGCATCACAAGAGTTCAAAGCTTAGGGATAACTTTTTTGTAAGCAAATCTCCATGAGCTTCATAATACCCTGGTCAATATATACATAAATTCAATTAATTGGTGACGGTAATGCTCATGAAATCTGTTCGTCACCACACAGCAAAGCAAGGACCAATTTGCCCATAAAGTATTTTCCTCCATTTGTCCACAACGTATTAATATATTCCTCCATTAAGTTAATAAAAACATGTACTTGTCGTCACGCGTTGGTTTTTTCCTTCAGCGATTTGCAAGTTGTTGTATCACGTTCACGTACCCAAACAATTTGCACCATGCGACGAAGTAAGTAATGCGTTAGAAGCAAACAAATGTTTTTTTTTTTCATTTTGGCACCTATGAAATGTTTAAAAAACACCAAAGAATAAAAAAAACATTTTTAAGAACCACGTACAGGAGATGAGGTAGAGGTTGAAAAAAAAGTAGTAATAAGTAGTAGAAGTGTCGGACTGGAAAAAAATCTCTACTAGAAGCGCGTCCAATATACAAGTCCACAAAATGTTATGTGTGACGGACGGATGATGAGTGGCATACAGAAATTCCTCAATACCTAAAAAAGTATGTATGTACATATTTTGAGAGCCACGAAGAGCCCAGAGAATATTTCTTGTGTACAGAAATGCTATAAAACAGCCAAGTAGTTCCTCCACCGAAAATGTTCTGAATGTTGTCATGGAAGTGTGTGTGTCCAATAAAGTGCCATCGCCACCACCACCATTTGTAAATCCACCCAGAATGAAGCAAACTTAACGCCCACCCCTCCATTTGCTTGAATGTGGCGCCCAACCATTCAACCAACCAACGAAACATAGAGCACGAGAGAGAGTAAGAGACTTGAGTTTAGCCGGCTAAGGATTTACTGGATGTCTGTGATGCTTGCTGTTGTTGTTGCTGGTGGCAGCTATGAAATTTGGCAACCCCGTGTCCTGTGTATATTCGCTATAATGCGTAAATATTTTTGCTCTCCAAAGTGGGTGCTGTGCTGTGTGAGGTTTTTTGGGAGCCCTTACCAAAATTATAGCAGTCCAAGAGACATATGTACATTGTAGAAAGTAGTGGCCGAGGGAGCTGCACATAAGCAAACATACCACCCGACGAACATAAAATCGATTTATGCTCGCTCGTTAAACTGCCAGCAGAATGTGGCAGCATACAAGCAACCGACAGACCGGTTTTGCTTTTACTTCAGAGTAGGATAGCAGTTTTTGTGCATAACTCTCTTGACATCTCTTTCTCTCTCAGAGGTGATTGGCTGAGCCGACCATCAAACCAGGGTATCATGCTGCGCAAAATCCAACCCATTTTACTAACACCACCATGGGTTTGAAATGATTTATGGCCGAGTTAGTGGCAATACAGCAACAACACGCAACAACCACATCATATGGGAACAACAACAACTGGGAAAGGTATGAACGCACACACACAGGCTATCTCTTTTACTCTTGCGTATGGGAAATGGAGAGTAGTGATTGGTGTTTAGTGTGGCGAGTGTTGGTTGCCTCTGTTGCCTGTGTTTGTATGAGAGTTCTACGGCTGAGTCAAACACACAACCTTCTGTTGGACTTTCAAGCACCTCGAACAGGTTTCATGCTCTGCGAGTATCAACAGAAAGGTGCTCTATCTAGTACAGTGTGGAGGTATTTTTGTATCGTGTCGCTTAACGTTGTATTGCGGGCTTTTATTTTTTTCTTAACCGGAGATCGTCGTTGTTGCGTTAAAAAATTAGTTGGAACTGAAAAATTTAAACTGTAGAGAAATTTTTAAAAAGAAAAAAAAAAAATTTTCAAGATTCAAAAAAAAAGTTCGGAATCCGTTTTGACCTTTACAACAGCCGAAACTTAATCTTTGTTGTAACAACCTACCACCAACATTGTTTGTTGGTTGGCTGGGAGACGATCCAACACAACGCGTTCTAACCGCTCGTACATTCGCTCAGCCGTAGCTCTCTCACTCCGTGTGTGTGTGTTTATGTGCGTTTGAGCCCTACACAACCTTGTGCCATACCGTTAAGGTTCTAGTTGCGTGTCGCTCGCTGCCTGCCTGCCTGGTCGCTTACAAGAGAGAGCCCAGCAGCTTTCGAACATTGTCCGCATCGTTGTCGCCGACGTTTGGTTGGTTGGTGCGTATGTGTATGTGTTGTGTGTGCTTGCCAGCATATCGGTGTGCGTGGCTGGCTGCTGTGTGTGAGTTTGAATTGAACTACGGAGTTTTCCTTCACGGGATTTACGGGAAATCACGTTTTGAAAAGATCATTTGTGTTTTGTAATTCGGCGATTCATGTCGTACAGCGGCGCGTCGCACACTTATGTCGTAGAGAGAATACAAAAAGCAAAATAAATAAAGAAAATAACAGCAGATAAACACTTTTGAAACAAAAGCAAAAGAACTTATCTATTAAAATACCGAGCAACACAAAAAAAAATATTTTTATTATTATTGTGTAACAAAAGATATTGAAATACAAGAAAAAAAATTGAATGAAAGCAACAAATTGAATAAAACAAATAAACAAAAGAAAAAAGTGCAAAATAATAAGCGAAACAATATTCGCCAGATTTGTTTTCATTACACATTCAATAAAAATAAAAAACACGGAATAAAAACAAACAGCAAAAAATAATTTTGAAAAATAAACAAGAAATTTTGAAAAAAAGTGTTACAAATACTCACAAGGAATAAATAAAAAAATCTCAACATCAAATTTATGAATGAAAATTGAAATAAAAAATTCAAAAAATAATTTGACACAATGACCCCATGTGAAGAATAACAAACAGCAAAACAAATTATTTTTTTTATTTTCAAAACTAAAAATTCAAAATACCAAAAAAAACTTACAAAAAAGTGCCAAACATCCAAATTAAAAAAATAAAAATCGAAAAAAAACTTTATATTAAAAAAATAAAATCCTACACACAACTCCGTCATTATGCTAACCATGGAATCCGATATGAAAGGTGGCATTCTACATGCCACAATGCCACCACATCATGCCTCAGCGGCCCTCCACGGCCATGCCGCCTCTCCATACAGTGCTTTGGGACCTCTTATGAATCTCGGCCAATCGCATTTGACCCAATCCCATCTTAGTCATCATCATCAACATCACATGTCGTCACACTTGGCCAGTCAGGCTGGCAGTACTCCCAACGGCACCACAAGTGTCCTCAGCTCTTTGCAAAATAGCATGGCCCAGACATTGAATGGTAGTTCTGGAAACCATTCCGGTTCTCCACTGCACAGCTCCAGTGATCTAAGTCCCACCCAAAGTTCACACACCAGCATCGGCAGTCATCACATGACTTCGCCAGGACAAAATCACCATCATTCACATCATCACTCCTCGGGAGGTATGGGTGGCCAAAGTACACCTCTCAGCTCGGGAGGTAGTTCCGCCGGAGGTGGTGGCTCCAATGGTGGTCAATTGAACAACAACAATTCCTCCAGTGCCAGTAAAGCTGCTCAAAGTGCCGCCGAACGTGTCAAACGGCCCATGAATGCCTTTATGGTCTGGTCTCGGGGTCAACGTCGCAAGATGGCCTCCGACAATCCCAAAATGCACAACTCAGAAATTTCCAAACGTCTCGGTGCCCAATGGAAAGATTTGTCGGAAAATGAAAAACGTCCCTTCATTGATGAGGCCAAACGTTTGAGAGCCGTTCACATGAAAGAACATCCCGACTACAAATATCGTCCCCGCCGCAAGACAAAGACTTTGACCAAAACCAAGGAGAAATACCCAATGGGTGTTGGTGGCCTGCTACAGGCTTCGGAAGGTAATCCACCTGCGGGTAGGGCCAGTTCAGCTAATTCGATCTCATCGGCTGCCCAACAAGCGGCAGCGGCGGGAGTCAATCGGGACATGTATCCCATGAGTGCTCCCAACGGCTATATGCCCAATGGCTATATGATGCATGATCCCTCCGCAGCTGCTGCCTATCAAAGCCAACACGGTGCCTACATGGGCAACTATCATCGTTACGATATGGGTCAAATGCATCAGGCTGCTGCCGCTGCCAATTACATGAATGCCGGCTCCGGCTATGGCATGTATGGCACAGTGTCGGGCGGTCAGACCTCACCCTACGGCAATGTGCAACAGCCCGGCTCACCCTATGGCACAGGAAGCGCTCAACCCCAGCCCGGTTCACCTTACGGCATTTCCTCCGGCCAACCTGGTTCTCAAGTCTCCTGCCAAAGTCACAGTCCCAGCGATTCCAGCGTCAAATCCGAACCCGTCTCACCCAGTCCGATGCACAGCTCCCAGTCGTCACAGCAGCAACAACAACAGCAGCAGCAACAACAAAATTCCGCCGCCGCCGCCGCTGTCATTACCAACAACAATAATCATGTCTTGAAACGTGAATATTTGGGTGGCCAACAGCCCGAACTGAATCACCTGATGAACATGTATCACCTGTCCGACAATATGCAAGTGACGGCCGCGGCGGCAGCCGCTGCAGCGGAACATCATCAACGCAACTTGATGCACTATCAGAATAGTTCGCCCGAATTGCAACAGCATCAAGCGGCCGCCGCCCACCACCATCATCAGCAGTCGATGCGTTCCATGGCTCCATTGGCCCATATGTGAGAAATGGCAACGGCATTTGGAGCTCACTCAACAGCTGCAACAACAACAGCAACGCTGCCCATGGTTTCAAGAAGTGTAGCGCCGTCGTCGTTGTCGTCGGTGGCTGTTGAGAGTACGCCCTGTGGCTTATCGCTAACACAAAACAACAACAACCAACAACAACCTCCTGCCCCCACGTTGTCCTCGTCCAATAATTCGTCGTCCTCGACGTCAAATTCTTCCAGCTCCCACCACATTAATCAACGTTTGTTGCTCAATCAGCAGCAGCAGCAGGATGAACATGAGCAGCAAATGCATTTAGCGGATGACCATCACCAGCAGCAGCAGCAACAACACCAGCAACTTGATGAGAGTTCCTCGCATCACTTACAGCAATCCGCCGAATTGTTGTCCTCCCATCTGCAACAGCATCATCAGCTGGGCTCATCAGGTACGTTGGAAGGTGGTGAGAGTGGCCGGGGATCCTTGGTGGCCATGCACAATGCCGCCTATGGCCAGGGCCGCTTGAGTCCCATTGCCTCGGTGGGCTCATCAGGAGGAGGCAGCCGCTCATCGGCCCATTCTTTGCCCTCGCATTCACCGGCGGCCCTGCATCACCACAACTTGACTGGCTATCAAGTGCAAGCGTCCGGCGATAACAGCTGCGGTAGCGGTGCTACAGTCGTGACCTCAGCAGCCATAATGGGTCGGCTAACGGCCGGCGGCGTCGGTGGCAGTGTGGTTGTGGACAACAATGGTTTCAGTATGTCAGATGCCAGTGCTGGTGGATCCCTGTCTTTGCTGCAGAATGCCCACCAAGCGAGCAGTCATGCCCATCATCCACATCATCATTTGGCCCACTTGCCGTATGCATCGCTAGCAACGGCCGCTCATCATCATCCGCATCACCACCATCCTTCGCATCATCATCACCATCCACATCACCATCATCATCCGCACGATGCAACAGGACTGTTGGATATATCCACATTGTAAATTGTCGCATTTTCAAACTCCCCCTCCCCACAACAACAACCAACTTTAATTTTAAATTAACTTTAAATAAATTTAATTTAAAAAAAAAAAAACAAAATTTATAAAAAAATAAATCAACTTAGTTCTTGACATTAGTTCTAATGTAAAAAAACCAACAACAACAAAAACTAAAAACAACCCCCCTCAAACAACCAAATTCCCCTTAAAATGGAATATAAAACAAATAGTTTAAACAAAAAAACAACCCATTGTGTATAAAACAAAAAATTATTAAATAAAGTTAGTAATAAAATACTATATTAAATAAAAAATACGTACAATATTTAGAAAATTAATTAAATAGTTTAACAACAAAAACAACAACGTCACGAAGTAGAACAACCAGCGATAGTTAATTCACTTCTCCTCCTCTACTCAACGTTCTTTTAGAGGAAAAAACAAAAACAACTGCAGAAAAAAATCACACAAAATCTCATCAACAGCAGAAAAAACTTAGGAGTCCAAAATAGAAAAAAATATTAGAAATTATTTTCAAATATCCGTCGGCAAAATCAATCTGTTCCGAAGTCAGTCCTCTAAGGGGAGATACTCCGATTTTTTTTTTTTTTTGAAAATGAATTTTTTCTCCAATTTTTATTATCATAGAGGTCCTGAATATAAGCCTAGAGGACCTCTAAGGTGTGTTCAAAAAAATCTAAAAATTTTCCTTTGCCGCTGGCTTTTTCATCCGACGTCTAGGAACACCTCCCTTTCTTTTTGTTGAAACAAAATAGTCACACAAGCAAAAAAAGAACTGACATAAAAAAATTAACTATTTGTAAATTAAACTAACAAAAAAATAAATTAAAAAAAAAAAAACAAAAAACAACCAAAACAACATTCCGCCTCATCTTCCTCTTCACACACACTCTCTCAAACAAACAAAAAATTTCTCAAAAAAAAAAAAACCCTGTAAAATTATCAAACAAAATACATTTCGAATAAAAAATCACAAGAAAAAAATATAATTTGTAAAATGTGTGATAAAAAATGTTAATTATATTTCATAATTATTATATGATTATTACTATATATATGATAAAAAAACAAAAACAAACAAAAAATACAACATAAAACAAACTACACTTATTATTACTATTATTATTATTAAATAATTAATTATTATTATTATGGATATATCATTTTATTTTTTGTTAATTGTAATTAGTTTTTCGAAAACGACAAACAACAACCACAACAAATCTATGTTTATAAGTCCTTTTTATATATATAAATATATTTGATTTTATTTGAATTCGAATAATAAAAGAAAAACTTTCATGACGTGTAAAATAACTTATGTTTAAACACAAAAGAAAAAAATTAAAACAAAAATGCAATTTGTCTTTTGATTTCAACAAAAATTGGGGAACACACAAGAAATGGAATTATTGGGAAAATCAAAAATTAACAAAAATCATCATTTTCAAAGTGGTGAAGAAGAATTTATTAAAAATAAATTTTCATGAAAAATTAACTTTGATTACATTTTAATTATATTTCTAAGGCAACATTATTTTAAAACCCGACGGCTTTTTTATTCGTCTACGAAATCTTCAAAAAAAAATCTGACACTACAATGATCAAAGGTCAGATTTAAATCAGTGTTCACAAAAACTGAAAGAATGAAAATAAAATAGGAGAGCAATAGCTAACCAAAATATAGACCACTGTAGACTAAGTAACGACAGACCCTAAAGCCAGAGAGCCAAACATAAATATTTTATTAATTAATAACTATGTTCGAATAAAATTTTGTTTAAGCAGGAAACAAATTTAAATCATTTATAGAATTTCACTGAAATAACGGTTGTTTTCTTACAGTGATATATCCATTATTTTTTATTATTTTAAAAGGATGGTAGCGCCAAATGAATTAATCTAGAAATATATATCTTAATCCATATGCAAAATATGGAAATAATTAATTACACATATTCACAATTAACTTCCACACATAATCAATTTTCTTACCCATTTAATGTGAAGTGAAATCGTGTCATTGAGAATTACCCCGTTATGAAATAAAGCACAAAACATTAAATATATTTATTCAATGTAATGACAACGATATCATCAACAGAAGTATATTGTAATTTTAAATTACACCAACTACCGATCACATTCCGCCGATAATTACATTAAGAAAAAGATAGTATATTTATATAGAATTAGTGACCGAATAGTTCCGAATTGAACTGTTTCAAACGCAACAAATATTTCAAAAGAAATTAAGGTTTGTGTTTAAATGTAGTGGTTTTGCAAAACTTAAAAAATAGTATTGATAATGTTTTTTTTTACCTTTAAAGGATGCTTGAATAGTGTTTTTGATAAATAATAAATACTTCACAATAAAGAACATTTATATCGTTGGAAATATATAAATGTCTATAAAACCCATTTTTACGCACCAACAATTTTTGTTAAGCCGCTGACCTGAAATGTAGGAATAATAAAAAATTAATTTTTTTAAGAAGGTTGTCTATGAACTCTAAACCTCAAAAATGTTTCTTTTTAATTAAAAATAGTTCTCTAGCCACAATGTCGAGAGAAAATTAGTTTTTCACCATGGCGAAGTAGGAAAATTTCGAAGGAAAATAGCAAAAAAGGACTCAACATTACTCGAACTACAGTCAAAAAATATATATTGAGGTACAAACCAGAGAATCGAATTTGCAACAAGCCGAAAACCAGCAAGAAAAAAATATTCAATATAAGAGATGAAAGTTGGTTGACCCGACAAGTAGTCGAGAATACAAAGCTAAGAGCACCTAAACTTACTCAAATCGTAGAGAAATATCTGGAAAAGAAATGTAATCCAGACACAATTCGAAGAATTCTGCGTAAGCATGGTCTTCATTGTAGAGTTGGACCGAATCAGATCAGATTGGAGTTCGTTCAGTAACTCGAAAAAAAAAGTTTTTTGGTTTTTGGAAATCTGTTATGTTTACTGATGAAAGCAAATTAAAGTTATTTGGGTCGGATGGACCAAGTAAGCTTTGGTAGAGGGCAATAACATCCGTGGACCCTAAACACACAATTCCGGCCGTAAAGCGCGGATGAAGCTCTTTAATGATATTGAGCTGTGTAAGTTCTGCCGAAGTATGAAATCACGTTCTTATTGAAATTACAATGTCGTAAATATTACAATTACAATGTCGTAAATATTACAATGTCGTAAATATATAAACATTAAAAAATTTCCTCTTACATCTAGATTAAAATATTACGATTGCTGTCAAGTATATTGGAAAATGCCTGAAATGCCTTTATGATTGCTTAATATATGATTAACTCTACAAATTTAAAAATCTCGATCGATCTAACCCATGTTTACTACTAATGATCTAATTCAATCTAATTTTGTGGTGATTTCAACAATGGCTTTTTTAATTAATTTTTTTTTTTTTGCCGGACCAGAAGAAACTTTTTGTGCGCCATGTACTAGAACCAAATGATTTCTGTAAAGTGGTCATCATTTTAGAAAATTATGATTTCTAAAGATATATTAAGAGCAGTAACTATTTCAATATCAAGATTTCATTTATTTTCTTATTTTAGTATTATTTCTTCCAGACGCTAAATGTATATTAAATGGGGAATATAACACAACATTGTTGATTCCTATTCCGTACAATATTTGACTCAAAATTTACCAATTATCATTTCGAGATAAAGATCCATTAATAGCACTCTGTATAATATATATTAAAAATTGCACTTAAAAGAGAATATTCGGAAAAATGCTACTAAAAATTTCTAAAATTCAAATCCATTTATGAATGAAATCATGGATAAAATTGGGCATCTGTAAACTATATTTTGGTGTGGTAAACTTTTATGCATAAAGAAACCAGATAATATGTTTAAAATGTTACCACAATTTTCAAAATGTTCGAAATTATAAGATTCTTGGTAAACCTATGAATACTATAATCTATAAAATCAAGCACACGGTGTTTCAAAATAAACCAGTAAACTGCTTCTCTAGACCCGGAAAAAACTAACCACAAACTTATATCGAAAAATATAAATATGGCAAAATTGTTAATAAGTTTAAAAAAAAATATTTTTTATCTACACTAAACATAAAATGGCAAGTTTTGGTAATGTGTCAGGAGTACAACTCCAATATGAATGCAATTATTTTACTTTTTTTAAAAAACTCAGAAGTAATGCATTGAGTTTAATACACCCTAAAAATATATAACATTTATTCAATGAGAAAGGTTTTAGATCTACAATAAATTATTTGTCCCCTGGTGGACAATGCCATACTTTCCCCACTAATAAAAAGTGGTGTTTACTAAACAACAAACTGGTATTATTTACAATTATATTTAGAAATTGTATAAATTTAAATTAAAACAATTTCATTTTGTATGAATATGTTTGTTATCGGATTTAAAAAGATCGGAAAATTAATAGGTATAATTCATATTTGGTATACTCATATCTAAATCAGAAATTTTTTAAAAGTATTTAGCATATTTGTATTTTAAACTATACAAAATACAATATCAGTCAAATTAATGACACCAAATCTCATGTTTAATATTGATTACGAATAAAATAGATTTATTGCGCTCAACCATTCTATGATACCCCGACTTGCAACATCACCCACCTAACACAGGTGATTATCTACCTGAACATCTCTTCAATCTAACTGAATGGATAGTACGCAAATCCTTATTTCACAAATACATATTTATGTACATCATTTCTGGCCCAATAAAAATATGACTAAAATATAATAAATGCAACACATAAAGTTACTCGACGAAGGCAAGAAGACATTGAATTACAACAACAACAACTGTCTTTCACAACTTCCTTAGATAGATTACCGAAACAGAGATCAGTTCACACGAACGACATTGTTCAGGGCGTTTATGACACTCAATAAAATGTGGGCAATTGGAATTTCCGATATTACGGGAATTTCCGCAATGTGCAGC